AGGTTTCAACCACGTTTCTGAAAGACAAAGCATTTATTTAATAAAAAATGTCAGATTTTTTACTGGAGGCACTTCTACAGTTCCACTGTAGAATTACTGGGTCCATATTGAGGACGAATTAAAACAGAATTTTCAATAACATTGGCAACGTGAGGCGGTTCAAATTTAGTCTGAATCATATTTGATTTAGTCAAGAAATTTACAATGGCTATAATAATGTCCGAGATAGATGTCTGTGAACTAGTATCAGAAGAGGCTTTAAGTGGTGAACCATTAGGGAAAGCTAAAGGTATGTTGTAATCCTTTGCAAATGAATCATGTGCAGCACGATCATACCCACCCGCTACTTTAGGAGGGGAACGTGGTTGAACAAAAACTGTTTTTTTATAAGATTTATTAGTTGAATGAGCCTCTGTTGAAACTGTAGTTATTGTTCAGCCTATTATCATTAAATTTTTGTTGAGAGGAGCGAACTGCATCAGCAAAAGATCTTGAAATTGGAGGGTGATGTTTTGATGCTTCGGAATATGATATACTACTTTGGGCCATGGATACTTTAATTTCTTTTTGACGGGCAAATTCAGGACAGGATTTGCTATTTGCAAAATGGAATCCAGAACATAGGCAACAAGAAGCATAATCTACATGTACTGAGCAGGTTTCAACAGTATGGTCTTCACCACATTTTAGGCAACGGGGTTTGGATGTACACTGCATTTTGGTATGTCCATAACGGCAACAACGGTAACATTGTATTGTAGGATACATATACAGTTCAACAGATAAAGCAGTATAGCACATGTAAATGCGCTTTGGTAGAACTTGTCCATCAAAGGTGAAAATTATAGTTTCCGTGTTATTAAATATCGCAGTCCCACTTACAAGAGTTTTCCGCTTGATACGTCTAACTTTAATAATTTTACCGCACCCAATAGGCACTGAAACATTTTCAAGAACTTCATCATCTGTCCAATCGGCAGGGACACCACGCACTACTCCCATACGAGTCACATTGAAAGTAGGAATAAAAGCTTTAAATTTGTGACTGGCATGACTGGGGTCATCAACAAAGTTATTCGCATCAGCAACACTAGAGAAAGCCAAACTAAGCCTGTTGCGACCTATTCTTTTCAAACTTCCGTTTACAATGTTTTTAAAAGAGTTCTTTTTTAAAAGTTTCCAAACTGCACATGATGGAGCGTAACACGATCATCAGCTGTACTTTGTTCTTTCTGGACATGTACTACGTATGGGGCTAAATCAGTCACTTCATACTTCCTACCACCCTGCGGCCTTGAATTGGAAACAGAATCACTAACATTTGTTACAACATTGTTAGTACTATTATTAGCACCAACAATGCTAGCAATGACATAAGCAACAATGGGTAATTTAAATTTCTTGGAACATTCTTCCTAAGATTCAGAACATTGATAATAGTGTAAAGAGACTGGTTTGCCATCTCTTTTCCTACGTTTTTTATTACAAAAAATATTACATAAATTATAACTAAAAGAAAGAGTAAATACAAAAATAACTCTAACGATCCCAAATTAAATTAATTTGAAAATAAGAAAGTAAAAAACACGTCCGCCAAATCAAAGGTTTCCCGCGCTTTTCGACACTTGAATAAAAAGTGTGTAACACACACATTGATACAACAGACGTTTCCGATATAGTTGAGAGAGTGTGGCGGCGTCTAAAGCAAAGTGACTCCCTCATCTACTGGGATTGTGTGGGCCACTGCGCCACCCAAGCCTTCTAACAATGAGTTGGTCCCCATCATTGCTCAATTACAGGCACTCAGTAAGCAGGCTAAGCGGCTTTGTCTACACGCTATTTGTGATCAAGATCCAGTTCTCGCCGTAGACAAAGGTCCGCGACGCCTCACGGCTTGTGCTGGTAATTCTTGCTTGACACTGGTTCCGACCTTTCCTGTTTCCCTCGGAAACTTCTGTCGACTCAATGCAAAGTTTCCGATTATACTCTTAGTGCCGCCAATGGCACCAGTATAAAAACATATGGCAGTCGCACATTTTCATTAAATCTCGGTCTCCGTCGCGAATTCAGATGGAATTTCACTATTGCAGACGTCGAGACAGCTATCATTGGCTCCGATTTTCTGGCCTATTTCAATCTACTCCCGGACTCCCGCAACAAACTGTTACGAGATGGTTCTACCAGGCTTTCTGTTCCTGCCTCCATCTGTAACATAAGTCAACTCAGTGTTAAGGTTGTGGTTTTTGACAATGACTTTGCACGCCTGCTTTTAGACTTCCCGGAAATTACCAAACCGCCTGGTCTTCCGAGAGTCGTCAAGCACAACACTCTGCATTACATCAAAACCACAGACGGCCCACCAGTTTCTTGCCGGCCCCGTCGTTTGGCCCCTCAAAAACTGGCAGACGCTAAAAAAGAAATTGAAGAGATGGTGCGCTCCGGTTCTGCAAGGCCTTCAGATAGCCCGTGGTCGTCTCCGCTGCATTTGACCTTGAAAAAGGACAGCAACTGGCGCCCTTGCAGCGATTATGGCAGTCTGAATACCAGGACCATTGCGGATCGTTACCTGGTGAGCCATATTCATGACTTTGCCAGCAGCCTCAGCGGAGCCACCGTTTTCAGCAACCTTGACCTGGTAAAGGCTTATCATCAAATTCCTGTGGCACAAGAATTCCCATTCATGACCTTCGGTTTGAGGAATACGGGTCAAACCTTTCAAAGGTTCATCGATGAGGTCACACGGGGTTTGGATTTCTGTTTTCCTTATGTGGACGACATCCTCATTTTCTCTAAGGACGAGGCTCTCCACAAGGACCACCTGCGGACGCTTTTCCAGCGCCTTCATGATTATGGTGTTGTTTTGAACCCTTCCAAGTGCAATTTTGGAGTAAGAGACGCCCGATTTTTGAGTTACGTTATAACTCCCGACGGCACTCACCCTCCGCAAGAACGAATCCAAACCCTACTGGATTTTACTCCTCCCAAAACCAGGCTGCTAAATTTCAGGCTCCCTTAGTTGACGCTGTCGTCTCTACCAATGGCAAAGGCGCTAAACCATTCTCATGGACACCGGAACTGCTCGAGCATTTCGAAGCCTGTAAAGCCAGCCTATCTAGTGCCACGTTATTGCAACACCCGATCATGGATGCACCCCTTGGATTATTTACTGATACATCAAGTGTCCATGTTGGTGCTTACCTTCAGCAACAGGCGGACGGTGCCTGGAATCCCCTCGCTTTCTTCAGCAGGAAATTGACTCCTCGGCAAGCTCAGGGCGGTCTACGAAAGCGTACAACATTTCTTCTGTACTTTTATTTGTAACAATGCACGGAGTAACCCGTAAACCCAGTAGTAGGTTTCCTGGTAGGTAGGGATCCCGGTCTCCCATGACAAATCATCCATTTTATTCAGTTTATCCTTGATGGTATGTACCATACGCTCAGCCAACCCATTGGTGGCTGTGTGATAAGGAGCTGTGGTTAAATGTCGAATTTTATTTGCTGGTAAAAATTGCTTCATTTCATTCGAGACCAATGATGTACCATTATCAGATACTAAAATTTCACAAAGACCATGTGTAGCAAAAATCATTCTCAATAGTCGTATTACCGCCAGGTGGCGGCACTAAATCTATGGCCAGGTTGCGCCACTTGTGATAAACACTGTCCTCGAGATATAATTTCGTAAAAATTGTTGAAAATAAACAGTTCAACTTAAAAAGTGTGTTAACAAGTACCACAAACATGGCCAATAATTGTTTGTGACGAAAGTGCTCTTGGAAATAAATTAATAATGCAGTGACAATCTTGGTGCTAAAATCAATTCAACCCTGGATTTTAAATAAAATCTACTGAAGACGTGTGTTATGTGTCAACCCCAAAGGCAACTTGCTGACCAAGACTATATTGCACACGGCACCAATATTCTAGAAATCATGCAATAGAGTAAACTGCAGACGCAGCGCCTCGTGCCGAGTCCACCAGGTCAACGTGACGCCGCGCACCGGCACTTCGATACACACCTCGGTCGGGTCAATTAGCTCTTAGTGATAATTAATTTGTAATTACATTTATTTTTAATTAAATTAGTTTGTAAAATTTTGGTTTTTTTTGAGTCCTCCGGCAGCGGCCTACGTAATTGGCGCAGTCGGTAGGATACTCGCGGAACGTCGCGGGCAACGTAATTTTTCAAAAATCAAAAATTCGCGCCGTCGTCGTCGTCTCCGGGTGGCTGTCAAGTCCCTCAATGAGTATCCTGGATCTACGTGCGCCGCGCCGAGTATCTAAAATTCGATAACGCTCAAAAAGACAAGATCACCATGTCCATGCAAGTGATACACCACTGATTTTCTCTAGTGTTGCATTCCTTTCTAATCCTAATAATTTTTCCTTTTTATTATTGATAGTCCTTATTGTTACGACTCCAAAATTTTCTATCCCAGGAGTCGTACCCGAACGGCTGTAACTAAACAGTCTAGGGTATAGATTAATAGATAGTAGAAAAGCGAAATGCATATTCTTTTGCACGTAATCTAGACTCACGAAATAACCGGCGATTTTCTTTCGTAAGTCTTTCATTAAAGTATATTTTCGTTGGTTGACCATACACTACGTTTTCGGATGTTAAGTTTCGCCTGGACTTTGCAGCATTAATCAACTCATCTTGTTTTCGTTTTCTCATCAACTTCAGAACTATTGGACGCTGTACTGCAATGTTTTGTTCAGAATTCACAGATCTTTGAATTTTCGGACCTACTCTAGTGACGTCTGCAATATCATTTTCTGACAGCTCAACTCCTATTTTCTGCGAAGCCGCTATAACTATGTGATAAAGATTTTCATTCGGCTGTTCAGTGATTCCAGAAATCTCAACATCGTTTCTCAAAACGTCTTGTTCGCGTGTAGCAATTCGTTGTTGAAGATGCCCAAAAGTCACTTTGAGATCTACAATTTCCAATTGTGCGTCGTGTAGCTTCTTAAAATGCTCTCTCAGAGTGTTACTCAGGACATGTGTTTTTTTATTTCCAAGTTTTGTTGCTTCACTTCGATCACTTCTTGCCTAAGTTGACGTAATTCAGATACCAGCTTTGACATTTTGATATTTGTCGACGGCACATCCTTAGTAGTAGAGGGCTTTGTCACTGGGTGTCTACTTCCGCGGAGCGTGTTTACATTATTGCATTTGTTGTTGGGCGAACGTACTGGTGTGGACGTGTTATCTCCTTTTGGTCGCGAGCATACGCAAGATGGGCAGAGCCAATTTTCTTTATATGAATGTGACAGGTCCTTGAAGTGATCTTTGTCAATATTTATGCATACCAGGTCATATGTCTGTTTGCATTTAGAGCACTCCATATAGTACAAATCTCTTATTTTGCTGCCGCATCCTGCGCAATTTACAGCCATCATGTGTTTACTCGAAATGTCGTATGTTTACTTCTTTACTCGAAAACCTATGCAACGAAGCAATAGGCGGTGTACAAACGTAGTCGACTCAGGAGATTAACGAGCGTATGTAAAAGTAAATAAAAGTTAATGAAAATAATAATAAAAAATCAAAAATATAAAATAAAATAAAATGGATAGTTTTAATCACTTTTGAGTCTGACGTGGGATTTGAACTCGCAACTTTTGCACTGGTCACCGCGTTGTCCAACCAACTCTACTACTCAACTAAATGCAATATGAGTATCAGTTTCGAGGTGTTTGGGGGTTCTCATTACGAATATGGCACTTATTTCTGAATCCAAGATAGCGGGCACGATTTTTTAAATAATGGCAAGCTGGGTATCGTTTTCAAGGTATTTGGGGGTGCTCATTACGAATACAGCACTTATATCTAAATCCAAGATGGCGGACACGACTTTTCAAATAAATGCAATATGGGTATCAATTTCGAGGTATTTGGGGGTGCTCATTACGAATATGGCACTCATTTCTAAATCTAAGACGGCATTTAAAGTTTTTCAAATAATGGCAAGTTGGGTATCGTTTTCGAGGTATTTGGGGGTGCTTATTACGAATATAGCATTTATATCTAAATCCAACATGGCGGACATGACTTTTCAAATAAATGCAATATGGATATCAGTCTCGAGGTATTTGGGGATGCTCAATACGAATATGGCACTCATTTCTAAATCCAAGGTGGCAGACACGATTTTTCGAATAATGGCAAGTTGTGTATCGTTTTCGAGGTATTTGGCGGTGCTCATTACGAATAGCACTTATTTGTAAATCCAAGATGGCGGACATGATTTTTCAAAAAATGCTATATGGGTATCGTTTTCGAGGTATATGGGGATGCTCATTACGAATATGGCACTCATTTCTAAATCCAAAATGGCGGGCACGATTTTTCGGATAACGGCAAAATTGGGTATCGTTTTCGAGGTATTTGGGGGTGCTCATTATGAATATAGCACTTATTAGTAAATCCAAAATGGCGGACACGATTTTAAAAAAAATGCAATATGGGTATCGTTTTCGTGGTATTGCGGGGTGCTCATTACGAATATAGCACTCATTAGTAAATCCAAGATGACGGGCACAATTTTTAAAGAAAATGCAACATGGGTATCGTTTTCGAGGTATATGGGGATGCTCATTACGAATATGGCACTCATTTCTAAATCCAAGATGGCGGGCACGATTTTTCGGATAACGGCAAAATTGGGTATCGTTTTCGAGGTATTTGGGAGTGCTCACTACGAATATAGCACTTATTAGAAAATTCAAGATGGCGGACACGATTTTTCAAAAAAATACAATATGGGTATCGTTTTCGAGGCATTGGGGGTGCTCATTACGAATAGAGTACTTATTTGTAAATGCACGATGGCAATCACGATTTTTCAAACAATGCAATATGGGTGTCAGTTTCGAGGTATTTGGGGGTGCTCATTACGAATATAGCACTTATTAGT